AGAAACATAAGAATATGATAGTTTGATATTTCAATGAATTGAATGAATCCATTATTGATCAAAAAAATCAGTAACAAAGAAACATAAGAATATGAATGAAAGGAACCCTAATGATAATAATCCTAAGAAATATTTGAGCAGTCCAACAAAATATGCATTAGTTCTCAAAAGATAGCATCCACCAGAAAATTAATACAGGATTTAAAAACACTTTCCTATAAAGAGATAAAGAGTTTATATACAAAACCAACTTAAAGATCAAAATAGAATGCACAATCAACTGACCTCAGCAGCACTAATTTTATCAGGCCTAGAAACATAATCTTCCAAGTCTACCTCATCACTTAAGTTCATCTTAGCAGTGCAGACCTGTAAAGAGAAAAAAAATTATTGTAATTCAAGACTTCATTTATGTTGCAATGCATCATTTTGCACAGAAGTGTCCAAGGTCTTACCTGAAAAACAAGCCTTTTCTGACGTCTATCAGGCAAAGGAAATTCAATCTTCCTGTCAAGCCTTCCAGGACGCAGAAGTGCAGGGTCAAGTGTGTCAGCCCGATTGGTCGCCATTATTACCTTCACATTTACTGTTTGGTCAAAACCATCCATCTGCAAAACCCAGGCCAAAAATAAGTAAATAAAAGAACAGTTCCAAATTTACAGATGAAAGTTGAATCAGAGTAAGGCATGAAAGTAAGAAAACTTGCTCTTCATCATCAACTGCTAAATTCAATATATAAAAAAAAACAAATGCATTTGAGCCATGGTTTGTTTCTTTCTCCTTGGAACTCAACAAGGTCCCTACTGCCTATCTTTTTAATCTATGAGATATAAATTGTACCTGGTTCAGGAGTTCCATAAGAATTCGCTGAACTTCTCTGTCTGCACCAGTTTGGGCATCGAACCTAGCAGTAGCTATGGCATCAACCTCATCAATAAAGATAATTGCAGGGGCATTCTCTTTGGCAAGGCGAAAAACATCACGGACCATTCTCGGACCCTGATAAAAAATGGACAAAATCTGTCATAAACCAAATACAAGCAGAGGGAAGAACCAAAATTAAACAAGGGGGAGATAGAAGAATAAAATGAACAAAATTTAATGCAATACAAGTGCCAATGAAACACATAGAAATAGTAATTACTAATTAGACAAAGAAGGTCCAAAGATTTCCACTAAAATTATCTGTTTTTAAGGAAATTTACAAGACAACAAAATATACAACATGCTCAATCACTGAATAAAAAGAAAAGTTGGAAAAAGCCTTACCTCACCCAAATACTTCTGAACAAATTCAGAACCAACTACTCTTATGAAGGCTGCAGTTGTATGATTGGCAACAGCCTTGGCAAGCATGGTTTTGCCTGTGCCAGGTGGACCATAAAGTAAGACACCTCGAGGGGGATCTATCCCAATCTGTTTGTATAGCTCATGATGTGTCAAAGGCAATTCAACAGCTTCACGGATTTCCTGCTTTTGAATGTCGCATCCCCCAATATCCTGACCCCATTAGAAGGAATATTGTAAGATAAAAGGCAAGTATTTGAAATGAAGACCAACCATTTAGATTGAAAATGCTGACTTGCAAAATGTACAGGCATAAACAAGAACTAACAACTAACCTAAATCTAATTCACCCTAACTAACAGATAAATTATGCAACCCACATTTGTTAATTACTAAACCCCAACTGAATGCAAAAGGAAACAGTATCAAGTTTCCTTTTTCCATAGTCCTCATTACTTATTAACTGATATTACCAATACACTACTTTCCCAATTCCAAAATTTACATTTCAGAAATAGGCAGGTGGGTAGGCATATGAAAACTAATTTTTCACCCCAAAACCATTGAAAATTAAAAACAGCATCAAGTTTCAAATCAGTTATTTAGTAATACCTTCTTTTGAAGAAACATTATCGAACTTCAACCCAGCATTTCTTAATTACATCTTTTTCCCCTCAAGGCAACTGATATCATTGGCAAATCAACTAATGATGGCTATCAATTGACTACAGAGATTTTGTGTTAGACAAGAACACCTCTCACCATAGTGGAGGGACTTGAACCTTCTGGAGTGGATTCAACATTCATAGCAAATGCAAGCATGCCTAAAGGGGAGAAATACTTATGCCGGTAAGACGCCCATAGGAAAACCAATACTTATGCATTGCCTCAAAAGAACTATCAGACTTGGAGTGTATTTCTTATGACTTCATTATGGGAATTTTGTTTTTCCCTCTTTGGATCAACCTTTCTTTTGACATGCAAGATTTCCTTTGAGTTGGCATTAGTGTTTTTAATGCAAATTTGTTCTTGCGATCTCATAGAAATACAAAGTTCAAGATGCATAACACATTTGCTCTTTCTCTATTTGCAAGTCAAAATAGGATTTATAACTATAGTATAGGTATAGATAAGGGTTTTAATTGGGGTCAAATGTTCGTTTCTGGAACTTTTTCGAGTTACACTTAGTAGTAATAGATCATCAAATTAGTAGTAGTAAAGCCCTGTTTTCTCTGTCCTTTGTAACTATACCACTCATTTCTTGCACACAGCACACCCTTCAGTATATCTACCTTCTAAATTACTGATAAAAAAAATATCTACCTTCTAAGTTATGCTCATCAAATTGATTTATATTTTCTTATAATTACTTAGATTTAACATCATACTAAGATAGTAGACTGTAAATATCTACTATTTGATCATGGTTCATTTTCCGCATTAGGATTTTTGTACTCTCTTAAAGAGTGGTACTCCATCTGTTTTGCTTTAGTTACCACTTCCCAGAATCAAGGACTGGAGCAGGAGAGAGATTGGGCCTTGAAACTTTGGAGCTTCAATTTTGAAAAAGTTCCAAGCATATAGAGTGGCACTATACCATGTATGTATATGTGTCAACGCCATGAAGTTGAGCAGGTGATACTAAGCACCTTGTCCTATCTAAGTGAGGACAATTCCTAGATAACAACCAGGCATAACCTAGGTGTCAAAAATAGACAAATACATAGATATATGCATTTTCTGTGATACAAAGATATTATTTCATAACTAAGAGTACACAACTACACATTTCATTCATTTAAAAGCATACTACCCAAAGCTGGATATCATGAATGAGTGCACAATAAACCAAATGGCACACATAAAATATCAAATTGTCTCATAGTAGTTTACAGCGAAGTTCCTGGCCTAGGTATTCCCCAAACAAAATGTTCACTTTTAACTCTTGATATGGCAATAATTGATCAAAAAATAAATAAATAAATAACTCTCGACATGGGAAGGGAATCAGCCACAGTTAACTTGTCTAAGTGTCTATATTTAGCTTGTGCCTTAGTTAACTTGTCTAAGTGTCTATATTTCCATGCAATATCTTCTTCTTGCCTAATCTACCTAAGAAGAACTTGACACTTTTGACAGTCCCCTTCCAAGGATAATTTCTGATCTTGAGAAATAGTTGGCTTCAACCCTTCTCTTAATGTCGGATCTCAGCCTTCAAAGAATTACCATTCCCAATTGGGCATGAATAGCTGAGAAGAGTGTTACCTCCACAGTCTCTAAACTTACAAGACTACAGCCAGCTAGACTATGGTCTTTACAATTGAGGGATAAACTTACAAGCTTCAGGGGTCACTCACCTAGGCCCCCACAGCAAATAGACTCCAAACTAAGCCAGAAGAAATGCCAGTTAGAAGGTGGACTGGTACTTCTGTACATGGGCCCAGATTTAGGGACCAATGCTGTGAAAGTACGGTTAAATCCTGCACACACAATACCCTCTCTTGGAATTCCCAGAAGACTAACCAGATCAGCTTTGATTATCTCCCAACAGTCTGGAAAAAAGGCTATTGTGAAACCAGCAAGGCCTGGAGCTTTTGATCTTTCCATTGAAAAAATGGCTTCCTTAATTTCCTACTCCTAAAAGCTTCTTTCCAAGAGCTCTACATGATCATTCCCCAAAGCCTCCCAATCAAGACCATCAATTGACCATCTACCATTGAAAGGTCATCGAAAAATTGATCTATAATGTTTTGCAGTAGTCATGGCTATCTCATTTTAGTTTGTGATCACAGTCTCTCCCAAATTTAAAGAAGTAATTAGGCTCTTCCTTCTCCTACCATATGCAATGGCATGAAAGAATCGCGTATTAACATCGCCTCCCTTGACCCATTTCTCTTTGGATTTTTGCTTCCAACAGATTTCCTCCCGTAAGAGAGTTGCCTCTAACTCCTTTATAGACCATCTCAGGTCTACTCTATCACTATCAGAGAAGAAACCTTCTAAGCAATTTTCAATCCAATTATAAACAGCAAATTTGCATCACCCTTAACCATATCAAATTAGAACACTGATTCCGCTCAATGGATACATTGCAATGCTTTGCAGAAAAGGATGATGGGGGCCAGTGAATTTATTCCAACTGGTACATCAGCATTTATATTTATGTTGCAACTAGGTGATGGGGTGTGTTAGAACCTGTCATTATTCCATTTTGGTGAACGGGACAGTGGTGTATTTCTTCCCAACTTTATGGGGAATAAGGCAAGGAGACACCCTCTCTCCTTTTTGTTTACCTTGATAGCACATGTCCTAGGAAGATTAGCCACTAGAGCAAACTCTAGGAATTAAATAAAAGGTTGGAGAGTTGGAAGGGATGGGATACCTCTAAATCATGTGCAATCCGCGGATGATATGGTTCTTTTTTGTGAAGATGGTGATCTAAAAGGCCCAGGGACTTGAAACTCAAGATACAACTTTAAGAGCAAATGGCATTGCAAGTTCAGCTTCAGCCCCAGTTAAGGACACTTCCCTACCTAATTGGGCTCCTCTTCCCAGTGGTTTTTTCAAATTAAATTTCAATGGAAGCAGCTTGAGTAATCCAGGTCCTTCGGGTACTAAGGGTGTTCTAGGAAATGAGGAAGGTGTGGTAAGTGCTCTGTTTTTATTTTCTTTTTTGAGGCCAATTGGAATGGGTGATTCTCTCCGGGCTAACATTTCTGCTGTTCTTGAAGGAACCCAAAGGGCTAATGAACTGAATATCACCAAATTGGTTATAGAAGCAGATTCTAAATTGGTAGTGGACTGGCTGTAAGATGATACTGCTAGTTTTTGGAACTACAGAAATGAAATGAGGAAATTCAAATGGTTGACTAAGGATATTGACGTGAAGCTGAACTGGGTAAAAAGAAGTGTGCAAACTCCTTTGCCGATGGCTTAGCCAAACAGGGGGTAACTAGGGATTCCTTGTTCCGGGCTCTCTTGTAATTTCATTCCCTCTCTCTCTCTCTCTCTCTCTCTCTTTGTATTTGGGTGGGAGAGTTAAGAGAAGTTATCTCCCCTAAATCTGTATCTATTTCTCCTTTTATTAATGAAAGTTGCGATTTATTGATTAAAAAAACAGTATTTATATTTATTTGATTGCTTCCGCTAATGAGTACATTTCAGTGCTTTTCAGAAAGGGGCGAAGGGGGCCAGTGAATTCATTCCAACAATTCAACTGGTAATTCAGTATTTATATTTATTTGATTGCTTCCGAAAATGGGTACATTTCGGTGCTTTTCAAAAAAGGGCGAAGGGGGGCAGTGAATTCATTCCAACCGGTAAATCAGTATTTATATTTGTTTGGTTGCTTCCGCTAAATGGGTACATATCAGTGCTTTTCAGGAAAGGGCGAAAGGGGGCAGTGAATTCATTCCAACTGGTAAACCGGTATTTATTTTATTTGATTGTTTCCGCTGTACACTTAACAGATTTAATACCATCGTCCTACTCTTTTAAACCCCTCCAAATGAGTCCACTGGAGAACATGATTTGATGGCAGTACATTAAGGAAATCTCCTCATTCAAGGATTGATGCAGCCCTTGAAGACACCAGAGACTTGGTGACTCCTGTCAATTCAGGTCATGGGAAAGAAAAGAAAAATGAAGTCTAGAACCAAGTTCTCGGTCACAGAAATACATAAAACAATAACCTAATTAGCCCTCCAAAACTCTAATTCATAACCTAAAAACCCTAAATTCCTAAGCGAACTTTAAAGTTTCCAAACCCTAAAAACTTTATATAAGGGAACTTACATTATAGGTTACGTCGGGCTTCTCGGACTGGCTCAACAATGAGATGCTAGAGTCGGCCTCCGGCGGCAACACGTCCACGAGCGCATTCGAGTGGCGATGCAAAGCCACTGAAGCTGAAGGCTTAAGGAGCTCCCGATTAATGGTACTAAGTATCCTGACGTAGTAATTCGACCCGGTCGTCGAGCCAACGATCCCATTGTTCTGGTCGACCATCTCCATGAACTGTCCGATGACGAGCGGCACCGATTGGATCCGCTTGACCTCTTCTTGAGCTCGGAGAAGCTCGCGCTTGAGGTTCTTCTGCTCGTCCTTGACGTACTCTTCCTGGATGTCGATGAACTCGAGCTGCCGCTGAAGCGACTTGAGGCGAGCATAGAGGTCATCCTCGTCGGGGAAGGATGATGGGTCGGAGAAGGCATAAGACTCGGAGCTTGAGGAGGGGATCGACGGCGGTGGGTCAGAAGAGGGTTTTGGATCTAGAACCATCGCCGATGCGGCCATAATTTGCGGCAATGAGAGAGAGAGAGAGAGATGAAATAAACCCCGATAATCAGTATCCCCCTAACCCGTTCTGTTCGACTGAGCTTGCCTATTATATATAGGCGTTTTTTTATAATTAATCGGCTATACCAATAATTAATGCATTACTACCTTTATTTTGGGATGTGGTAATTAACCATGAACTTTTATTTGTGAGACAAAAAAAAAAATCCTCTCCATTAAATTGAGCGATGAAAAAGTTAATCTATCAAAATATCCACTTAAAGAATCATAAGGATATCATTTGAAAACGGCCAACATAGGCAAGAGAAATCTATTTCTCTTTCTTTCAAAAATCGCTAAAAGAACTAACGAAGTTTCTCTATTTTTATGTACAAACTACATGAAAAAAAAAACAAAAAATATATAAAAATCCAGAATTACAACAAATATAATATGCAATTAATATCAAGTAAACCAATAACAAATGGAATTTGTAAAACAAAAATACTGAACCCCAATACAACCTATTTTAGAATATCTCTAAAAAAAAGGGTAATTTAGGAATTCAAAAATGTTTAACAATCACATAATAAATGCTAACAGAGGGTTTTTATAAAAATCTGAAAGTCTGAAGGGGTTTTTATCACGAGTGAAAATTGAGAGAGTAATTGACAATAGGCATGTTCACGGGCCGGGCCAGGCCGGGCTTTGTCTCTTTATCGAGAAGAAATGTCCATGCCCGAGCTTGGCCCTTATATAAGGCTTGAAGTTCGAGTTTGAAACCCAATTTTCACATAAAATTTCTTATTTTGTGTAATTTAATAAATTAATATTATATTAATTTGATAATAAATTAATAAATTAATTTATATTTCTTAAATAGTAAATTAATATTAAATAATAATTTTATAGATAAATACATATTATATATTTATTATATAAATAATATATATTTTTATTATATGTAATAGTATCAAGCTGGGTTTGGGCCCGAATCAAACTTATTTGACAAAGCCTACCTCAGCCCACAGGCCTAAAATTTGTCCAAACCTAAAAAATATCAAATCAGATCAGGCCAGTCCTCCAAACTACCCAACCTATGAACAGATCTAATTGACAATACCCAAACCCTAAAGTATATGGGAGTAATTTGTAATGTACCTTTTTCTTTATCCTTTGATAAGCAATATTAAACAATCTTGCATCCTGTGACCCCGTGCTCACCAACCAGAATCGAACACGTTTCTTCATTGAATAAACAAAGAACTAATAGAATTACTCTATTAACTATAGTTAAACCAGCCACTAAATGAACAGGTCTAATTGAATAAATAATACCCAGCTCGTCGGGTAACCCGACCCACAAAGTATTGGGAGTTAATTTGTAATGTACCTTTTTCTTTATCCTTTGATTGCTATTATAGTTAAACCAGCCATTAAATGACAAAAAAACAATAAAACCAAAACTTTTAGACTTCCTCTCATTCGAACTCTCCTCCCATCGCCTCTCACAATATGTGACCAAAACATTGGTGACGAGCGGCAAGTTTATCTCTTATTTTTTTTCCTGCTCTCTATTCTTCTTCCCCTCTTCTTCTTTCTTTGTAGTATATATTTCCTCTGATTGAGTTGATTTCTGCGTTTCAGTTTCAAACATGGTCACAGACACCAAGCAATTCAGCAACTTCTAAAGAAAAACAAAATAGACCAGAAAAGTATTGATGTTTGGTTTGGCCGACGGCGACAAATAAATTTACTCCCAAACTTCAAAGGAAGGCTGAAGGCTTTGAGGGTCCAGAGGAGATGAACCGAGGCCGAGGCAAATCGCTCCTTCGAATGCTGTAAAAGCCGAGGGCTAGCATTGAGAAGGGCTTTCAAGGGAGGACGAAGCGTTGCTCCTGCAGTGATGAATCTACAAGGGAGAAGGTGTCAGAGGCCTCGGGTGATAACCTAAGGTGAGCACTCCAACGGTCAAGTTAGAATGCGTGTAAGGTAAGCAGTGAGTCTGGAGTCGAGGGGTCCAGACAAGGTCTCAAATAGCGCTAAGTCCTTGGAGGAGAGAGCACTAGAGATCACAAAGGTTTCAAATCCCTTACCTTGTGGGGGGTGCCTTGCATTTATAGTCAGAGCTGCCAGGGGGTAGTTAGGCTCGGATGGCCCAGATACGAGCCATACAAGGGTCTGGCGTGATGTTCTCCCAGAGCCACGTGGCGTCTTGCGATTGGGTCCGCCTGGTCTGCGTCGGATAACCCTGAGCGTCCTCATGGTTAGGGGTGCCCATGAAAAATCAAAAAATTGAACTGAACCGAGAAAACCAAATCGCAAAATGCGGTTAACCGAACCAATCAACGGTTTTGGTTCGGAATTTTTGAAAAATCGAAGGACCGATTCAGTTTTTGATTAACCTACAAAAAAAACGATGGTTAACCGAACCGACCAGTATATATATTTTTATGTATATTTTATATATATTTTTAATATATGTCACATATTTCTATGTATTATATATGAATATATACTTATATTATATTTATAATGATCTATTTATAAATATATTATATATATTTCAAATATTTATAATATTATATATCATTTATTATTTATAATATAATATTATACATATATTTGTATAATATATATTATAAATATAAAAAACTGAAAAACCAAAGAATCGAACCAGTCAAAAGCCGAAACCGACAAACAGGTTAACTGGTGGTACCAGTTCGGTTTCGGTTTGGAGAATTGGAAAAACTGGTACCACTAGTTCCATGGACACCCCTACTCATGGTAAGCCTATGTTGGCATCCTCTACTCGACACGCGTCAACCTTGTACAGGCCAGCCGAATGCGCCTACATTACTTGCCCCCCACTCCCGAGGCCGAGGTGGGGGTTTGAAAGGGGTCTCGGCTTTGGCCGAAGGGAGTATCGATACTGGTAGGTGTCATCGGGCTTGTTCGGTGGAGTGTACCCTCCAGTAGCGTCGCCTTCGTCGCGCTTCTGCTTCAACCTGATTTCAGTTCATCGAAGAGAGGTGAAGTCGTGGATGCCTCGGCCTTAGCTAGGGAGCCCGAGGTGGAGGGGACCCGGTTGTACCGAGCTTGTGCCTTTTACTCATGTGGTGACGGTCCGGGGCCGTGCGCCCTACGGGATTCATGAGTTGGCACGTCAGGGCCGTGTCTGATATGGGTTTGGTGCGAAGAGAGCATTCCGTAGGGGGGACGAGCGCTCTGGGTGAACCAATGGGTTATGGCAAGCAGGTCCGTCAGTTCACTCGGCATCGCTTTGTCTTCCCAAAGCTGGGCATCAGTTCACCAGGCGTCGTTTCATTTCCCTAAGGCTGGGTACGCACTGATTCACTAGGCGTCGTTTCATTTCCCTGATGCTGGACGCCGATTGTCACACCGCAAATGGTTAGCAAAGGCAAAGGCCTCACGACCGTTGGATCTGGTAGGATCTGAGCCGTTCATTTTTCTATAAAATAGGGGCCTTAGTGGCGATTTTTCTTCGTCATTTGTCTTTAGGCACCCTTGCTATTGAGTGAACACTGCTCCCAGACCTTCAACTTTTCGACACACCTCATCTTCACTCTTCTTTCCTTCGTCTTTTTAGGTAACTATTCCAATCATGTCTTTCTCAGATTTTGGCCCTGAGTGCTATGAACTCCTCAGACTCCTTCCCCCCTTTCTCCCTTAGGTCCACTAGTCGTCGTCCCCCTTCAGCAAGAGGTGATGGTGCTGAGGGAGAGGGTAGCCTCCGGGGGTGCGAAGGGCAACCGTCGAGGTGATGACCCTCCTTGTGAGAGCGCCACATCCGTGACTCCAAGGGAGCCAGAGGGGTCCCCCCAAGCCGAGGGGAGCGGATCCCAGAGCCCGTCCTAAGGACAATGGTCGATAGCACTTCCCGAAGGGTGGCGATGGCTGATATTCCACATACGAAGTTTAAGAGCACTCTGGATGTGGACCAAGTGAAGGCCCTAGCTAGGAGGTTTCACATACCTCGGTCCTACCAGTTTAGGGTTCCAGACGTCGGTGACCGGCCGTGGACCCCCGAGGAGGGGGAGATCTGTATATATCAACACTTCTTAGAGTTCGGCCTTAAGTTCCCTCTTCATCCCCTCATCTTTGAGCTATTGGAGTGGTATGACATCATCATTGCACTAAGTATATATGACCAGGAGGCCATCCACCGCCGAGGCGAGTGGCGAGGCGTGCGATGCTTCAGACGTCCTAATGTATTTTAGTTTGGCGAGGTATTAAGTTAGGGTGTTCGCCGCTAGTTATGTGCCCTAGCTGAAGGGATGAGAGATCCATCATATGGATGGCCGAACCTTGTAGGAAGGTTGGGCGGAATTTCAAAAATTTCTCTCTTTCCCATGTGGGAATCGCATTCCCTATTTTAGAAAACTACATTTTCAAGGATCAATCTTGAAACCAAACCGGACCAGATCTGAAACCAAAAGGGAGTAGAGAGATATACCTGATACGGAGTAATAGTAAACCCCCAATGAAGGTGTTCACGTCCTAGGGTGATACCAAGGACTGCTTCCACCAAAGATGACACGGTGCAGGATGAAGCAGAATCAGTAGGACGGTTCTTCAGCAAGAATGTGATGGAGGGCTGGTGAGCACGACTTCAAATTACCTTTTCTACCAAAAAGTAGTATCAAGAACCTTTCTTGATCACTCCCACAGGTGGAGATCGAACTCATAGAGGCGGCAAGAGAAGGGAAGAGCAGAAGACAGAAGCAGTCAAATTGCAAATTTTTCTCTCTGTGTAATTTGCGAACTGAGTATTATATTTTGGAGGTTCGCCTTGCTCCTCTATTTATAGCCTTTAAAGAGAGCATCATCCTTATCGCAACTAGCTAATCGGCCAACCAACTCAACTCACCAGATCTTTAATGGTTCTTTTGTTTTGGAACATTTCGGCCTTGTTCCCCTCTTGGAATCATGAGTGTTTTCGAGAGTCAGCCCTATATCTCTTTTAGAAGCGGCCACACTTCACACTCACTTAGGTCAGTTATTAGTGTGCACTGTTCACACTTTTCCTAACTGATTAAGAGTCTCATGTTCAACCTCCTCAATCTGTAGTGAGCATTAT